GGCTCTCGGAGGTCGTTCGGGATCTTGGCGCATGGCTTCTCTCGATTTTGCGACTTCGAGGGCCAAATCTTGACGGAGACGTTCGTTTTCAGCGATCATGTTCTCCAGCCTTTGTTTATTCTGCTTTGCTTGTTCGATGATCGCTTGCATTGTCTCTTGCGCTGAGGTCGTTGGTGAGTTGAAGTTCAAGGCGCGTCTTGCAGCGATGGTTTCTTTTCCGAGCATATTTGCTGGAGTGAGGTCATCTCCCTATGCGGTCTCGTCAATGGCTACCGGAGGATCTTCAGTCACGCCTGCCATGGATGTATTTGAGTATTCCCACAGACGGCGCCAATTGTGGGGAAGTGGTTTAGAAATACTCTTCGGATCTTGGGAGACGCTAGTGATCCTCAGCTAGTCACCTGAAAAGATACAAGCACTCCGGTCGGGGGTGCCGGAATTAGCACTCCGACGGACAAGTTAGTTAAGACGCTCAGGATAGCCTATTTACCAGTTTTGTGAAGTGATTCTTATATACCTTTCTATAACCATTGTTCCTGTATTTATACTTGTTCTTCTTGATCCTCGGGGCCAGGGCCTACTTTTTAATCATTGTCCTTTCCTTTATTCGGCTCTAAGTACTTATACTTTATTCGGCACATATATTCTATTCAGCTCCTTGCTCTCGTAGGATATAGCTGATTAATATCAGTCTTCCAAAGATACACACCATCTGATCTTTTCATTATTCGGTCCCCACAGTAAGAAAATCAAAAAACTAAGAAGTGATAGAGGTGGTAGATATGAATCACCTTTTGGTGAATTTTGTAAAGAACATGGAATAATTCATCAAACCACCGCTCCTTACTCACTTCAGCAAAATAGAATTGTTGAAAGGAAAAATAGGACTTTAAAAGAAATGATAAATGCAATGTTAATAAGTTCTGGATTACCGCAGAACTTCTAGGGGGAAGCAATACTTTCTGCTAATTATATACTTAACAGGTACCCCGAAAGAAAGTGGATCAAACACCTTATGAATTGTGGCATGGGAGAGTACCATCCTACAAATACTTAAAAGTGTGGGGGTGTTTAGCTAAAGTGACTATTCCTAGTCCTAAAAAGACTAAGATAGGTCCAAAAACCGTTGATTTCATTTTCATTGGTTATGGCAAGAATAGTAGTGCATATCTGTTTTTGATTCATAAATCAGAACATTTTGAAATGCATGTAAATACTGTTATTGAATCTCGGAATGCATATTTCTTTGAACATGTGTTTCCGAATAAAAATGGATAAGAGACTAGTAATAGTAATAATAAAAGATATTTTGATGCTATTACTAGCAATGATCAAGAACAAGATCAAGAGCAAGAGATAGATCAAAATGACGAAGAGGAACTTAGGCGTAGTAAACGTGCTAGAATTTCAAAATCTTTTGGTCTAGATTTTCTAACATATTTGTTAAAAAATGAGCCTTTAACTTTTAAAGAGGCTATGTTCAGTCCTGAAACTCCTTTATGGAAAGAAGCTATAAACAACGAAGTTGAATCCATCTTGCAAAATCATACTTGGGAATTGGTGGATTTGCCACCAGGTTGTAAACCTCTTGGGTATAAATGGATTTTCAAAAGAAAAATGAAAGCGGATGGATCAATTGACAAATACAAGGCAAGACTTGTGATCAAAGGATTTAGACAAAAAGAATGTCTAGATTATTTTGACACATACTCACCGGTTACTAGATTAACATCCATTAGAATGCTAATTGCCATTGCATCTCTATACAATCTAGAAATTCATCAAATGGATGTGAAAACCGCTTTCTTAAATGGTGAGTTAGATGAAGAAATTTACATGGAACAATCAGAAGGATTTTATGTTCCCTTTCTTAAATGGTGAGTTAAATGAAGAAATTTACATGGAACAACCAGAAGGGTTTTCTGTTCCAGGGACGGAAAAGAAAGTGTGTAAATTGGTTAAATCATTATATGGTTTAAAACAAGTGCCAAAGTAATGGCATGAGAAATTTGACAAGGCAATGATGTCAAATGGATTTAGAATTAATGAGTGTGACAAATGTGTTTATATTAAAAACATAGACAAAGGCTATGTCATTATATGTTTTTATGTAGATGATATGCTCATTATAGGTAGTAATAATAAAATGATTAAAACTACCAAGAAAATGTTGAATAAACATTTTGACATGAAGGACGTGGGCAATGCTAATGTAATTCTTGGTATGAAAATTACCAAAACATCAGAAGGTTATGCTTTGTCACAATCTAATTACATTGAGAAAATACTTGACAAATTTAGCGAAGATGATGATCATCTTGCTAGAACACCTGTGGATGTTAATTTGTTTCTTTCTAAGAATATACAGGAAAGTATTTCTCAATTAGAGTATGCCCAAATTATTGAAAGCTTAATGGACTTGATGAACTGCACTCGCCAAGATATAGTTTATGCAGTAAGTAAATTAAGTAGATATACGAGTAATCCGGGAGTAGAACACTGGAAAGCAATTATAAGGGTTCTAAGATATTTTGGATTTACTCATAACATTGGGCTGAATTATACTAGATATCGAGCAGTACTTGAAGGTTACTGCGATACAAACTGGATATCGGATACTAGAGACTCAAAATCCACCAGTGGATATGTCTTTACTCTTGGAGGGGTGGCTGTATCTTGGAAATCTTCCAAACAGACTTGCATTGCTAGGTTTATTATGGAATCAGAATTCATAGCTTTAGACAAAGCTAGGGAAGAGGTAGAATGGCTTCGCCACTTCCTTGAAGATATTCCAATGTGGCCAAAACCGGTATCTGCTATATGCATACATTGTGATAATCAATCAACAATTGGTAGAGCACAGAGTCATATGTATAATGGTAAGTCACGTCACATTCGTCGTCGACATAACACCGTGAGACAACTAATCTCTAATGGAATTATTTCCATTGAATATGTGAAGTCTAAAGACAACATAGCGGATTCACTAACAAAAGGGTTAGCAAGAGAGTTAGTTGAGAACTCATTGAGGGGAATGGGACTTAAGCCTATTAAATAAGAGTTACCACAATGGCAACCAAACCTAGTTGACTGGAGATCCCAAGATCTAGGTTCAAAGGGACAACCGAGTTGTGTATGACTCAGAAGGATCATTGAGGAGTCAAACTCCTACCCATTTCTATGATGAAATAGTGATGTCTGCAGCGTTTTAGGTTAAGTAATACTTTTAATGATTCTTATATCTAGGTATACCTAGTGGCGTATGGCAGGATACTCTTCATAATAATCACCTATATGAGTGTGAATTGGGTTGATTCTATGAGATTTGTGAAGGCCTACAATTCTCTAGAGCACTTATGAAAGATCAGGTTGTTCAGAGCCAAAATGAGCACAATAGTGAGAACTAAACTATGTTTGGGGATATACTATGTGAGTTCTATTGTGTTGGTTTACACAAACGGCTGAACAGTTCAAGATATCATGTTCACTGGTTATCTAGTAAATCCGATAGTGTCTCACAAGGGAAGGTTCAAAGCCAAAAGCTACCTATCTTTTGCAGAATATTTTCAATTTCTGTACTCTCTGTATTTAGATCATGTTGTTGCATTTTCTCTCTTCCAAATTCCATTCATGTAGGGGATTGTTGGAAAAATGGTTTTATATAGGCTTATTTTGGGCCAACTTTGAGTCCAAAATTGAGTGGGCCCCAAACGTCTTTTGGGGTGGGTCCGAAAAGGTGACGTGTTCCTTGCCACATGGCAAGTCACAAGGTGAAGATGGTTTGTCAAAACCATTTATGAGTGAATGAGAAGTTGACGTCGTTTTCGGGTTCGTGGAATAGACATTTAAAGAATTAAATGTGGATTTCCTTGAAATGGATTGTCCCACATTGAAACTTTAAGAGGGTTTTTGTTTGTATATAAGCTCTAGATTATAACACTTGGGTTGGGCCCCAAAGGGCACTCCAAGTTTGTAGAAGGGAGGAGTTATGGACAATGTGAACCTTAGCCCAAACCACCACACATGCGCGCGCTCCGCCGCAGGCTGAGCCGTGCCGGGTGTGGGTTATGGGCCGGGTCAATTCTAATATTAATTTTTTAGACAAAATTTATTTGAATTTTCAATGAAATCAAATTCAAATTTTGTGCTAAAAATTAAATTAATTTTCTATCCATATGTTACTCAATTTCCAGTCCATTTTTCAGCAAAGTTCAAAAGGTTCAAACTGTTTTAATAGTGTTAAAAACTACCTAGTAGTTTTAAACAGTTTTAAAAACTGCCAACAGATAAAAAAACTGCCAGCAGATCTGTTCCTTTGAATTTTGCACCTGTTGACTTTGTTTGTACCTGTTCGGATCTGTTTGGTTTTGCCTATAAATAGAAGGCTGTTCCAGCAGTTTTTTGCCTCCAAAAACAATCTGAAATTTTCATTTTGCTGTCCAAATTTTGTTCCTTTGCATTATTTATTATTTATTCTAGTTTTAGAGAATTTTAAAGAGAGTATAGAACACAAGATTCTAGTTCGCGGGACAAATTTGTTTGGAGTGCTACTACAATTTTGTGAAGATCATTGTGTCCTGGGAAATAGACGCCACTTAACCGTAAGCACCGTATCTGGGTGAATCTGTCTTAAGGACAGAGTGTCACACACTCGACTTGGTCTTTAAATATTCATTCGGTTCGGTAAAAATAAATTCGGTATGTAATTTATTTTATTTGTTTGATTTGTTTCAATTTATTTATTTTTTCACATAAGATTATTCCAACAGTTCAAAAACTTGAAATATGCATGTCTCCAGGAATCTTTGAATAATAAAGTGGTGCAGACAACCGAAAATCCGGCAGCATATCCTAAGTCAACATTAACATAGAACCATGGCATTATAGGACCATTTTCTGCTTCTGGAATGTTATTTTGCTCATTGCCTCCATTAATTAGTGGGCACATCCTTAAAAGTACTTCCCCACAAAGATTAGGATTCCCCTTGTTCGATTTCATGTCAAAGGTAGCAAGTTGACCCCTCGATGGTATGTCCTTGAATATTGTTGTTTGCCACACTGAACGAAGACAAGAAATAGAGATTTTGTAGTGACATTGGGATTTCTCCAGACAAATGATTCTCAGAGAGGTCTAATTTCGTTATAATAGTAAGATTAGATATTTGTCCTGGAATGCTGCCTGAGAAGTTGTTTTGACTTTGATCCAATACATGAAGAAACTTCAATTGACCAATCTGAAGAGGGATATTGCCACTTAGGCTGTTTTTTCTCAATCTTATTGTTGGTGGTATGTTGGTGAGACCAAACTTTGGCTGTTGTTTCTCGTAGTGGCTAGAAATCAGTGCAGACAATCTACAAAGTTCTTGAGGAAATTCACTTGAAAAGAGGTTGTATGCCAAATCTAGATAGAAAAGTCTGGGTGGAGATCCCAAACAACTAGGTATTGAGCCTGTGAGTTGATTAAAAGAAAATTCCAAAACCTTGAGTGTCTTGAACTTAATAAGCCAGGATGGCATTCTTCCAGAAAGCTGGCACCCCCCAAGATGTAGAAGTTGTAGTTTTTGAAACCCATCTGAATCCATTATGCTTTTTCCATCTGGCATTGCTTCATACATGAAGTTTTGAGAGAGGATGACAATCAGAATCCTAATCGCCCCTGTTATGTTAATTAGCCTGTTGGCAGAAAGTGTGAGGAAGGACAGAGATTGCATTGCAGCCATTTCAGGCACAATCTGTCCTTCCAGCTCATTAACATCCAGTCGAACGACTGTTAAGGACTCAATGTGTACAAACTTAATAGCAAAATACCTCTTAAACTTTTGTTTCCCAAGTCAAGAGTACTAAGTTGTTGGAGTCTTGAGAAGTCAACAGCCAATATATCTCCTTCCAAGAAATTGTTCCTTAAATTAATTGTGATAAGATTGATGCAGTGCATCAGTTATGAAGGTAAATTACCAGTAAGCTTGTTTGAGTGTAGAGGAAGTCTTTCCAGTCTGGAAAGCTTCTCAATGTCCTGAGGAATCTCGCCATCCAATTCATTTGAGTAGTGCTCAAAAATGGTGAGGTTGGAGAGCTGAACAAGCTCATCACCAAGGGGTCCTGATAGATAATTGCCAGGTAATGATATTTCTGTTAATGTTGTTGTGTTGTATATATCAGATGGAAGCAATCCTGTGAGAAAATTGAAACCTGCACGGAAAACCTCCAGTTTGAAACATCCCCTTAAAACATCAGGAATCTGGCCAATGAATTCATTGAAGGAGAAATCCAAGAACTTGACGTGGCTGGAAGAGTTGTATGTATGCGAAGGAATTTGGCCACCGAATTTTGACATTAAAATATATTAGATTTGTTGCCACCTTAAAGAATGAAGGTTTAATGATGTCAATAAGGCTATTGCTTGATAAATCTATTATCTGGATGGATTGGGAAAACAATGAAGGTGAAGACGGAAATCCACCAGAAAAAAGATTAAAATTCAGGTCTAGTGCTGTGATGTGACTCAAAGACGAAAACAATCCATAAGGGAGAGGACCAGAAAGCTGATTGTGTGAGAGATTGAGCTGAGAGAGATACACAAGGTTCGTTAGTGAGGGAGATGCATAACAACTCAGGCCTCTAAAGGGTAGCCATAACTGGGTAATCTGCCCATCATGATCACAAGTAATCCCTTCCCAGGGGCAACAATCAATACCAGAAGACTAATTTAGAGGAGTAGAGATGTTGAGGGAGAATGACAATAGAGCATCATTGTCAAGCTGGTTGCAAGTGTAGCATAAACTGACAAAACAAGAGAGTAGAATTAAAAGGAAGCCAAAAAAAAGATTAAAGAACTTGCAGCAATTGTTTAAAGAAAAATGATATTTAATGGAAGCATAGAGAAAATTGATGGGTTTTTGTACCACAAAAAAAAATCATGTGGAATTTGAGCAGTCATTTTGGACATGTTTCTTTTATTGTTTGAAGTGTCTTTTTTTTTTTTCTCTAATAAATTACAAATACATTTTTAGAAGTTTATTAAAAGGAGTAGTTTGCCTCCGGTCCTTAATCGGACTGGACGGTACTGTTCGGCCTGTGAGGGCCCACCACGGGTCCCATTTTGATAATCTAAACCGTTCAATGTGTAAAACTCGTCGAGTACTACATACATGTAAAAAAGCACGTTGATTGAATATCGATAGCTATCTTATCTTATCAGTTTTTAATCAACCGTTAGTTTGTTCACTGTCTATTTTTTTTATACAAACTGATTTGATCACATAACTATCGTTATCCGATCAACGTGATTTTTTATGAGCATATAGTACTCGACGATTTCTACACATTGAACGGTTCGGATTATCAAAATGAGACCTTTGATGAGCCCCACGGGCCGAACATCACCGTCTAGTCCGATTAAAGACTAAAGACAAGCTGCTCCCTTGATGAAATATCAAATTCTCCCTGTTTAATTTAAAAAACTACAAATACTTTGTCTTAGAGTTTGTTTTTTTAGTAGTGCTAATAGAAAAATCGAAAAACTTAAGTTTAACTCAAGTGGTTGGTAGGTATGGATTTCATTTCCCGTGTAAAATTATTAGGATTTCTTTACTAATCTAGAACCACTATAGTGCATTGTCTATAGTAAAACTTGTAGTGCCTGAATTTAAAAAATATTTATAAAAAAAAAAAAAAACTCATGCCCCTTTTTCTTTCTCTTTCCCCCAAAATGATTTTGTTTGGGGCACTATAACTGCACTACAGGCAATGTATGGTAGAGGATCTAGAGTCTTTCTTTGCTCTATTTTGTGAGTTTCTTCATAACAGAAAAGTTTGGGACCCCAGAGACCCCAGCACCCTCAGTGGGAGCTGGTTGGCCAATTTTTTTTTTTTCCTTCTTCAATCACCAACCTCCACGGGTGTGTGGGGAGGGACTGGGGGTCTCAATCAACTCTCTCTTCATAATTGCATATTGTATTTGTATTCATTATTATGACTGCAATTCATTAGTATTCATTGTAATATCATATATGAATATAAAAAATCTTGCCCTTAGCCAAAAACTAAAAATAGAAATAAAAAATGCTAAAATATCCTTTCATACCAAAACCAAAATTACCTTACCCATATATAGTATTTGGTTCACTAGAATGAAGCAGAATGTGATGAAATAGTCATTTCTTAGAATTCCTTATAGAATAATCATTCTCTTACAATGGTGAGTGATGATATTATTCGTGAAATATTTGTATCATTTTTTTAGTGAACCAGACATGAAAATAGATTTCATAATAGAATCATTCTATTCTAGTAACGTTATTGAAAATAATGAAAATTATATTATAAATGGAATCATCATTCACCATTGTAAGAGAATGATTATTTCATTGGGGAGTCTAAAGAATGACCATCTCATTCTATTCCATCTCATTTCAATGAATCAAATAAAACTCTTTGATAGCAACTTTGGCATCTAACAGTTAATTTAGGTATTTTAAAGAGAATTGTTGTTGACATCCCGTTAATTTATGAAAAATGTTACAATTTATTTATGGGTAATGTTATGGTACGTACACACCCTCAAAATGATGTGTAGTATATGACATTTGTGGGTTGGGTTACTAAAAATGTCAGTTATAACACCCAAAAAAATAAACAAATAAAAAAATTATAAACAAACACTACATAAGATATAATTAAAGAACTCTGGGATGATAACTAAAATAATATCATAACCAATATCACAATGAATCATAACTAACCCCACAAAATGTCATAACCAAAGGGATGAAAAATAAGTTTAGCAAATGAACTAAGATTTCAGGCAATCAGATTTGAGAAGGGAAAAAAACGAAAGGCGAAAAAAAAAAAAAAGAAAAAAAAAAGAGAAGACTTTCTACAAATTCAAGATCCAATTACAGTCTAAATACTTATAAGGTAATGCTAAGCTTATGAAGTTCCCATTCAAATCTTAATAATTGAAGCTAATACAAGACAAAGAGTTCTAAAATCCATACTAGCCAACCACGACAAAGTTTGCTCACCAACACTTTTTGGAAAATCATTCACAAAGTTACCATGACAAGACATGACAGACATAAAATCATAAAAGGTAATACACCAATATTTTATTTTTATATTATTGTTTCTTCTTTTTTAGTTCTATTGACAAGTAAATATGTCAACACCCCATGGCTCACCATTACATGTTTTTCCAAAATCCTCCATATAGCTACACTGGATCACATCCCAAAAAATTTCTTCCCTGTCAAGCTTTCAACGGTTTCCTTGAGGCTCTCCTCGAGGGAAATAAAGTCAATGGCCAATGTTTTTGCTTTTTCCTTGGATACTGAAGGGACTAAATATAAAATGGCTCAAATCCAAGCTTTGGGATGGTCCAATCTATTAGACTCAAGACCTGAGAAGCAGGATAAGTAAGTGGGCCAGTCAGATTAGCCCAATTACATTGTTAACAATCCACCCAAGTCCTCAAGCACTTGGGCCTAGCTTGTAGTAGAAAGGTCAGTCCAGCTAAGATGTTGGGCTGGGCCGAGCCACAAGATCTGATCCTTGGACCGAACCCAAAAGGGGCCGAGCCCATACAAAGATATCCTACTGGGCTAGCCCGTCTCTACAAACAATCTCGTAGAGGGTTGAGTAGAGGCACGACAATGCCGAGCCAAAAGAACCCAACAGAGAAACGTTAAAGCTGTGAATGCATGCACATGGAGGGTGCCACCTTAGCTGGTCCCCTCTCCCTAGAATCACGAAAACAGTTGATCGAAGGAATGTGATCTGTTACAAGCATGGTTACAATGAGTATATACACCCCTGGTCAGCTACCAGATGGTCTCCCACCTTGGGCAATGCTAAAAGGAAACTTTGCAGCCCTAGAGCTCCATGAAACCATCTTGGGCAACAAGCAAGGAGTTCTATATAAACTACACTGACTTCACACTGAAGGTAACTGATCTAAGCTGAACTATACTCACGAAAGCACAACTCTCTTAACACTAAGAGTACCCCTCTTCTTCTCCGATCTCTCACTCTCACACCGGAGGGGTTATCTGGCCAACCCCGGCCAGGCAGCTCTAACGGTGCTCATTGTTGTAGGGTCTCAATTCCTGGATATTTCAATCAAGTGTGGAGCTCCGATCCATAATCATCTAGTCCGATAATTGGTACGCACAATTGGTGTGGTGAGCGTGGACGGCTTTGTCTCTGAGTTCTACGCTTGATTCCAGCAACGGGGATTGAGGACATCCCACATTCGGCACTGACTCCACAAACAGAGAACACAAAGGATAAAGGTTTGGCACTCCCAACAGTCCTGGAAGAACAAACCAGAAACAACAACCGGACTCCCGAATCTGTTGAGTGTCGATTGCTCTTCGCTGGAGGTTCTTTTCATCATTTTCTATTAGAGAAGGATTACAGGGATCGAATCATTGACTCCATGGGAATGGAGATACAAGAACTGAAAGCACAACTCAAAGGGTGATAGGTGACCCGACGGAGAAGAGGACTGACGCAGAGCCCTCTTGCCTGAGATAGAGAAGCCCATCCCAAGAACCACCAATGAAGAAGGTTCCCATAAATGAGTCTGGGCAGCAAAGCCAGCCAATCCCGGTATAAAGTGAAGCGGCGAGCAGCCACACCTGTGGCTTACACCGGAGAAGGGCTAAGAGGCAGAAAACAGCTAGCCAGCAGATAGAGTACCCTCCTTAGGATCTTCGTACTTGGTTGATTAGCAACAAGCAAAATGAGCAACGACAGGATCACCTTGACCATACTATCCATCAGAGAGAGCACCGAGCATTGGATCGGCTCGTCTCCTCTCCATTCTCCTTGAAAATTGAGGCCATGGGTCCTCCTAAGAAATTCACTCCACCAAAGTTCACGTTATACGATGGGAAGTCAGACCCATTGACGCACATCAGCCATTATCGGCAGATGATGTCCTTATAGAGCCGAGATGAGGCACTGATGTGCAAAGTCTTCCCATCCAGCTTAGGAGAATCCGAACTTCGATGGTTTGATCGTCTCCTCACTGGATAGATTTACGACTGGAAGCAGCTCTCCGAAGAGTTCTTGGCCAGGTTCATCTCCAACACTAAGATCCCGAAAGAGCCAGATACACTTTTCGGTCTCCGAAAGGAACAGGAAGAAACGCTGTGTAATTATGCTAGGAGGTATTGGGAGGAGTACAATGACCTGAAGGAAACCATTTGTAGTGAACAGGTGGCTGTGATGTCTTCTAAACACGGTCTGTGCCCGAAAAGTAAGTTGAGAAGTCACTTACCAAGCGCCCCGGCCACAGCATTGAAAGATTTGAGTACCAGGATTGAGCAATAC